GGGGGGGTGAGGGTTGGGGCTGCTGGACAAACGCTGGAATGGAAGCGTTATTGGAACTTGTTCGAACAACTCGTTGGCCAACAACAGTAAGTACATTAGTACAAGTAACAATGGTGGCACCCTTCCGAAATTCGATTCATTTCAAATTCAAGGAACATAGGCAGCCACCCTCCCAAATTTATCCCACAGATTGCAAAAGATGATCCCGAACAGTTCCAATTGCGGCAATAGGGGAACTAGTCCCTTCGTTTATTCAATCATGGACACTTTCAAAGGTACATTACACTTATGTTACTTGAAAGTAAGCTTGTTACTGAGATCTTCTGACCTCGCACTTACACGTTACTTTTTTGGTTGAGAGTAGGCTTGGTACTTGTTCGAAAGTTTTAGATATTTCCCGTTTCACATTTTCGCTTTGAGGGGCCTATACTGAAGTAGAATTGACGGCCGAGTAGGTGTCATTGTATATCATTCTTGTGTAACTGGTAATACAATAAAGGAGATTTGAAGACATTGTTTGTTTAGTGGCAAAAGTTGTGTAGAATCAATACTTATTGATCAATATCTATTTTTATTTGACAAAATTTCTTAATGAGAGAATTGCCTTCATGACATTCATACCTAACTCCCTGGGGTATAAGAAAGGGTGTTATTTATACTTTCCCACCCCTCACCCTTACCCTTACCCAAGACTTTTTTTGATGTGTCGTATACTTGACGGGAGGTTTGAGACGTCGTATATGTGACATCGATGGAGTAAACTGGTACGCAATTGCAGACTACTGTCTGGAGTAGAAATAACGCCACCCTTGAGAAAGCAATCATAGCCAAAATTTGGTGTAAAACAATGAATTCTCCATTTTTGTAATTCTCATATCCGAAAGTCGTTGTGGTGGAAGTAATTATAACGATTTCAGTCTATGAAATTTGAAATCTGATTTTGAAATTTAATTAAAACGGCGAAAAGACCAAAGTTCACTTGAACGCAACAACTTTGATGGGCTTTTTTCGGATGGTGTTTTCAGCGAGAATCGCGAAACCAGTTCGGCTAATCATGAGTCATCATTTATGAGCGTACAAAAGTGTTATGGGGAATTTTGGCAGATTTCCAGGGGACCAAATCGATGCTGTTTGTCAAGTCTCCAAGTCCGCCATCCTGGTTTTCTACTTACAATACTTACAGGATAACTAACTCAAACAATCATAAGTGCTTTACAAACAGTAACTAAGAGTTGTTACAAGTGACTATTCACTTTTCCCGTTGTCACACAGTCACCCTTTTGCTGGGATTGTTCCTCAAGAAGTTCCATCCCTTCAGAATGGGGAAAAAAACTCCCAAGCAGGCCCATGTCAAAGAGTGCCAGGTGGGATAGGGAGGATACCAGTTGATGCATGGTTCGGGCAGGAAGTTTCCCCTGGAGGAGAAAAATGATCCCATATTGACTTTTATATATTCTACATATTACGGCGTTGTTTCAGAAAAAAAAGACATATGGGGACTAAATAAATATAAAATAACATTACAAAACATATCCATATCCATGGCAAAAATGTCCTCCAACATGGGAAGTGTGGGTTAATTACAGGCAAACTAGCTTTAGAGGCTTCAAGTTTTCGGGGCCAAAAGTCAGAAATTTTCGTCGTAAATCCTTCCTTCTCATGCTAAACAATAGCAAGTCCAAGGCCTCTGTCATTTCCGAGCACGACAGCCGCGCCTCTCCACCTGTCGTGCTCAAAGGGGACCAAACCACGGGTGAGGGCAATGGCGATCAACATGGAAGGCTTTGTTTTGGTGTCAAATTACAACAAAGCGTTTACTGTGTAGTAATAATTAGTCAACAAAATGAAATCCATTAATATCCCCATTGCTAGAGCGCTCGATGAGTCATGTACGTCCGAAAGGGCGGAGGGAATTTCGAAAGCGTTCCCCGTATAAAAGAGAGCGTTTGCCTGGCCACAGGGAGTGCCGTCGTTTTGTTTAAGCCGCTTCCTTTATGTTAGTTCTCCCCTTTTTATAATTTCCATATTCAATTCCAAGAAACATGTCTAAGCCCTGCTCCTTTCTGACCAGTAAGGACCACGCTGCTTGGTTGTTGGGTTGAGTTCTGCTTAACGACTTGCAAAGAAATCGATTCTGGCCTGTGTCAATACTGGGCAACAGCAGGAACACGCCATTATTCTCATTCATAAATATGCCTATCCTACAAGTAGTTACACCATTTCTGTCATATTACTTGTGCTGAACGCGCACATCCACAAAATATGGCCACTTCTCGTATTCCTTCATCTCACATCTTACGTCGATTGTTCGTATTCTGCTGCTTAATGACGTCACAACTAGTTATATGCCTTAGTTACGAAATGGCTTGTGAGAAAATTGGTGAACCCGTGAAGTCGGTCGTGGCCGAGCCAAACGATTATCACCAAGCTCTACTTACTGGAGATCGTGTTTGGATGTTTGGAAGAGCTTGTAAGTTTACATTGAATTCAATGAAAGTAACATAATAGTAACAACAGTAATATGATAATAAAAATGACATAAATTAAACAAAATGAGTGGTTTTCAGTTGTCAACCAGCCTTCCCACAATTGGGGACACCGAATCGTGTCGGCCGGAACGTACGGAGTGGCATTTAACCTCAGTAACAACAAATGGGAGGAGCCGCAGAAAGTGAGTGAAGGAAATTGACGTAAGAAACGAGTGGGGAAAAAGTTTAAACTGGGCAGCGATGAGAACAAGAAGGGGTACAAGACGATGACGGGCTGACCTTTGTGTTTGCAACGGGCTCGGGTGTATGTTTATCGATGGGCTGATTTGTTCTATTAGTTCCGCTTTAATGATGTGACAATAGGTTCAAAATCAAGCCAATACTAGGGAGGGATGGGAAATTTGTGAAGAAGCCACTATCGGGAAGCTAATGACCAAGTGAAGGGAGATAATGTTGCCAAAACGGGGATACGCTGTAAAGGGGCCCGGCGGTCCGACGTTGGGAAGGTCAACATCGTGCGCTCTTGCGCGCTGTAATATGATCGATCGATAAGTGGTCTCTGATCGACCCTGTTTTGATTATGTTTATTGTTTATGTGAGAAATAGGTTTTTATTGGTTTATTTTCACAGTCTGGCGGAGTTTTTGTAGTTTTCTTTGTGCTCGATACCACGAAATACAGATAGGAGGAAGCAAAAGAACAGATAAGCCTTGTTTACCAAATATCGGGGGAGTAGGTGACCAGAAACGGGTAATCATAAAGGGAGTAATCATTAGCATGTAATATCGGCTGATACTCAGAATTACAAACAAGTACCATTCAAAAAGTACTTGGAAACAGGGTCCCTTGGAACTGGATCCGGGAGAATCTTCAAAACTACGCTCATCGATTTGCTTATTTGTTGTTTATCTGTTTTCATCGTTCATTTATACTGGATTTCTGTTTGTTTTCATGAAATAACACTTACTTCCAATTCCATTACCCATTTACCAGTTTGGCATTAGGTTATTGCTATTGCTTGCCATTGTCACGGCTATTCATTTCTTGGGGTATGTCATCGAAAATGTTTTTGTTCATGTTTATTTTCCCGTTTCAGTTCCCAGCTTTATCGAATGAAGAAAATATCAGTGAAATTTTGTTCGTACTCAACAAGTCCATTTACCTTCTGCTCTTCACAGCATTCGGTGAACTTTCGATGAAATCAGTTCACAAATGGACAGGATCAGGATGGGAATCATTGAAGCTCGATGTAAGATTTGACTGGTTTTTATTAGTTACAAGTTCCAATCTGGTTTTTATCATTTTCAGAGCTTCCAAGCAATGCCTGCTTCCGATCCATCGGAACGAGTGACCATGGTTGTAGCTGAAGGTCCTCATGAAGGTTCAAGATATCTCGTCAGTAATGTTGGCCACAAGATCAGGGTCGCTCATCTGAAGGTGTCCGATGGTTCCGTCAGCATTACGCACGTGGTAGATGTACCGGATGGTTCTGGCCAGATAGTGAGTTCCACTTTATTTGTTCTTTCTGTTACTTTACTCTGTACGGTCTTCTCTCTTTTGAATAGATATCGATTGATTGCCGTTGGCTTTGTTGAGTTCTACTGATTTGCCTTAGACCTATCTTATCCCTCTTCTTCGAAGCGCGAAATTCCCAGGCTATTTCAGAAGTAGCGTTTAGGTTTCCTTCCAATTTCTTGGATCTCATTGTTACTGGCTGTAGTAGTCAACCGTTTCCCAGTTGCCTAAAGTGTCGTTGCCTTCACCTGGCTTGACTGATCACCAAGGATTCCGGGCGGGACCCTCCCCCCCACTTTGTAGACTAAATTGCAATGAATTTCGTTTTACTCAGCGGATGGTTTTAAGGGTGCTCAAGCTGTATCCGCTGTAGAAGCTGGAGACCGTTTGCTGATCGGTTACGGTGTTCATGGATGCGGATTCCGATGGGACAATAGTCATGTGATCGTTTGTGATCCTAACAAGAAAACCTGTGAAACAGTACAGGTAAGTAATTTCAAGCATCTGCATATTTATATTCGACCTTACACTCATATCTCTTCAGATCCCCGCTGAGGCAGGTCCGAGATGGGGATTCGATGGCGCTAGGGCACATTATCTTTCGCCGTCTGGAGCATGGATACATGCTGCAGGGACTGTTCCTCAAGGTGTGTGTCGGATCCATTTCCATTCAGCCTTTTATTTACCTTCTCCGAGCCCCAAACATGCCCCTTACCTATTTAGGGATGCATGGAGGCACCTTCGAGGGTTCCATTTGGGCACTAACCAATCTGAGCTCGACTCCTGCATGGCGCCAACTTGAAGGCAGCATTCCTAAAGATGGAGATTTCGTCATTGGCAATGGGCGTGTCATTAGTATCGACAAGGACGGTGTGCACAGTCAGCCTCTCAAAGAAAATTGACAGATCGGTTGCTGTTTGATCTATTCATAATACGTAATTCACTCTTTATATCACTTGTGATAATTTTTCTCTATCATTCTATTTCGGTACGAGTTATCTGAGACTTTAACATAATCATTCGCGGTATTTTCTGGGTTATATGGCTGTTTCTATTAAATTAATGTGTCATATTTGTTTTATGTTCATTTGTTTTTCAAAACAATTGCAATAGTGGAACTGCTGTTGTTGTACAGATTCAATAACAGTGTTTCGTTAGTACGGAGGTTCCAGAGTTCAGGACATGTTGAAGTGGCTTTTGATAGGCTGACGTTTGTAGGTCAAGGAGAAGTTCGATATTGATTAGTCCTGATCATATCGGATCCCCTGTTGGTCCTGTGAACAGGGGACACAATCGCCATTTGGAGCCGCTCCACGAGCGCATACCTACGCACTTCATTGGTCTCTTTTCTGCTGAATTCGACCTCGAATCACTTTGATGTTGGGTGAAAATGCATGAATTTACTTATTAATCTCCAAAAAAAAAATAGATATTCTACGGAGGTGGATCCGTTTAGCATGTGGGCGGGGTATCCTGCACTATTGCGTAAACCTCATTGGTTACAACTGGGAAGAGGAGGATCTTACCGATTAGAGGTCGGAAAAGTCTGTTATTGTGCTCCATATCTCGAAGCAGTCCGAAGGCGATTCATTCAAATCGAAGTAAGGATTGTAGGGCATCGACCAGTGTCAGGCAAGGGATTCAGTCAGGTTCGAGAAATAACTGTGATAAGGCTAACAAGCTCCTAATTCCGTGCGGCGTCGTTGAACTAGTTTCCTTCTTAACACACTGAAGCTGTTCCTATAACTGTACTTTTGACTTTTTGAATTGCTCTACAGTAGCTGAGCCATCCAGGGAGCATAAAAGCTGTTCTGCTTCTTCCATTATTTGATTCGCTTTGGTACGTCGATCTTTGGAGCCCTGGCAGTAAGCACGAGTTTGAAACGCTGTCGCTGTAACACTTTCACTCTTACTGGATCAGTTTGATGGGTGTTTTTCATACATCGGAGATGGTTAATAGGTAACAGGCTCACATGGGAGGGCAAAAACACTGACACTTTTCCCCGTAACTCATGCTATAATCAAAAGACCCATTTAACGACCAATTCTATTCAATATAGAAGTCGACCTCGTAAATGCCTGATAGTAGGAGATTGATCGAGGTTTAAAACCTGTGGTAACCCATCTATTCATGTCATCGACTAAATGAGCTGATGGTAGTAATGTTCGACGATCTTATTCTTTGGGACGCACCACGCATCCGACTTTCTGTGGAATCGTATATGCCGTTAAGGGCACAATTCACGGCAAGAAAGGTTTATAATTTTATCGCTAAAACATATCCATGCCCCCAATAATAGTATATGGGCCGTTGTCAAGCTGAAAAACGGCCTACACAGGGCGTAATAAGGGCTCGAAAACTGGTCTGGCCGACGCAGACACTCAAAGTGGCCGTGTTATGCTGGTCTCGTTATCACTGCATAATTTACAAGACGAGATAAATAGTACGCTTAAGTGAAAGACACCCTGACGACCATCTCGTACAACCCCTTTCCTTGCTACTTTTTCGAAATCTTGTAATTTTTCAAATGCAGCTACTTTCGCTTTTTTAAACCATCCTTGCACTATTCAACACCATGGGTTCCATTATTTCATTAGAGAGACACCTCAAATTGTCGTGAACTGCGGCTTCAAATACGTGAAAAACGTCTAAAAATGTAACATTTCCCGGCTAATTTGATGTGATTGGTCGTAAAGCAAGTTGCGATGAAATGACCTCGAGCCGCAGTTCCACTTAATTCAGCCGATTAATTTGAAGCGCAACATAATCGAATTTGCAAAACTGCGATTCTCAAAAAAGGGATCCCTGTTAATATATATTGTCTTTTAGCTAACTCACATGATACATGGGAAGTATTCACAGAAGTACAGCAACGAGGTTAGCACAGCTGCTCGTGGCAAGTCCTCCAATGAGGATGTTCTTTGATACTAGTGGTACTCATGTTTCCCTTTTCCTTTTATTGACACTGTCATCGAGATCTACAAAAGTGTATTCATCTGCACAAATATAATGTCGAAACACTGCTATTCGTTGCTGAATGCCACGATAATGCACAGATATGTTACAAAATAAAGTATGCATTTGCAACACAAATCCAGTGTGGTTCGCGCGCGGTTGCGACGCAGGCCGAGTTTGATCGATCGATAGGCGTTGCAAAGCTGTTCGTTACTATTCGAAACCTCGTTCGCAGAGAATTTTTTGCTTCCTTTTTCGACCCGAATTCTTGGAAGAAGATGCAATGTGAAATTCGCTTAGTTACAACAAGTAAGTTTAGGCTTTTGTTTTTGTTTTCACTTTTCTGCCATATTTATTCTCTGTACAATCTGGTTACTTGTTCAACATCTTTCTGTTTTCGAACTCAAACACTCCATTGAATCTTTCATAGTTAAATACATATAAAATGCACACTTAAGGAAGTTGCACTGCATAAAAACGCCAATATTACAGCTATGCATTACTGATGACAAATGACCGATAAGTATAGCTACTTTCTGTCGAGTACCTACTAAAGTCCTTGTAATGTGATACGCAATTTGGAAAGTGATGGCTAGATGTGGTCAAAGAATTTTGGATGTAAACAGTCATGGGAGCAGACCACATGCGCAACACCTGCGTTCAACGATCTGGGAGTCTAAGCACAACATATGGGCGCGCGTGAGCGGTGCGTGCGAGATGACGTCATTTTGACGCTGCGTGCAATGATCAGTCGTCTACGGCTCGCTCAATCAATTAATGAAATACGTAAATATAACTACTGGAGTGTGTAGATTGAAAGATAATAGAACGGCTTCAGAATCGTGGCGCAGCAACGCTACTCAGTTCTCACCCAATCCGCGCCACGACGTCATCCTCACGCGCCGCACTAGAGCGCTGATAAATTTTTACTATCCCACTCCCCCTTAGGCTTAATATACGAGGATTGCCTTTTATATTTCGGGATTCGGAAACACTAGTGTAGCAATCTAGCAACTGACACCACTATCGTAAAGTTTGACTATTTTGGGGTTCCGTTGCAAAACTTGAGCGCGATTTGTGTTGTTTACACTAAGTTATAAGATTTTGTTTCGGCCAAGTTATGGAGTTGAACCGTGGGCATTTTCGCGTGATTATTTTCTACAACTTTCGACGTGGCTTAACTCAACAGCAATGCATGGATGAACTTGGTTCAATTTTTGGGGATGAAGCTCCATCCAGGACCATGTTTATCGATGGTACAGTGAGTTCACCCGAGGTCGTAGTTCAGTCGAAGACGAATTTCGTGGAGGTCGTCCACAATCAGTTGTCGTTCCGAAAAATGTTGATGCTGTGCACAAACTAATATCGCAAGATCGTCATGTGACCTATCGTGAGATTGAGGCAACCTTAGGCACTAGTGGGACTAGCTTACATTCAATTTTGCATGAATATTTGACTGTAAAAAAATTTGTTGGCGTTGGATCCCACGCCACGACAATGCGAGCTCCAACACAACGGCTCAAACAACCGCATTTTTGAGCACTCAAAACAACGATTTGACAGGTCATCAGCCATGTAGTCTCCGGGTGACTTCTTCTCATCCCGTACGTAAAAAAAATGAGAGTTCAACGTTTTTCGACACCTGAAGAAGCCGTTGATGCATTCAGAATGCATTTTAGAGTTACCTTAATCAGAGTGGCAAAAGTGCTTTGAAAATTGGTTCGAGCTCATACAAAAGTGTATAGATCTTAATGTGGAGAATTTTGAAAGGCAGTCAAGCGATTTTCAATAAATAGTATTTGTTCCTGTTCTCAAATCCCGAAATATAAAAGGCAACCTACGTATAGGCTCAGAAGGACGCTTAAGAAAGATCCCTTGAATTTTGCTATGAAGGAGAAGGGATCGCTGAGTCTGCTCTCATTTTATGAAACACCACAATTTCTAGTTCCATTTTCATGCTAAGGCAGTGATTGTGAAGGTATGGGTCTGCACTTGCCGCGGTCGTCTATACATCCAAAGGATGTCGCCGTAAACGCTGCGTCCACGGTTAGTCGCGCCAGGACCCCACGTCTTTTATAAAAGGCGAAGAGTTCCGGCACGAATAGTTGAGGCCGTTTCGAGCGGCTAGCTAGTTTAAAGTTGTTGACGACGAAGGCATACCCATACCCCTTCCGTGGATGACACGATTAGTACAGAGCTTCAATGTCCACTCAAAAAACCCAACAATCTTTTTCAGCCATTGTTAAATGTAGCTGTTCTATTTGTGAGATATAGTTCTCGAAAGTTTTTCGAATGGTTCTAGTGAGCAAATAATGACGTGCTTTTTCGAAGCAGCGTCTGTGCAACGGATTTATCGCCGGTATTTTTCGCAGTTTGAATACATGCGTATCGATTGGCGCCGCTTCACGGATACGGCAATCAATGCGTATGCATAGAACGACAACGACAGGCGGCAATTCGAATCAATCGCGAGCACAGAGCGCGGCTCAGAAAATTGTGTACAGCTTGAGATCTATTCTGAGAGTCACATTCGGTAGATCGCATTCATCGATGGAGATGAGGTCGCTGTGCGATTTTCTTCGAACCCGTGCTGTAGATTTAATACGGATTTTCGTCTAGGGCCATGCCTGAAAACCATTTGTTCAAGGTAGAAATCATATCCAAGCAGCTTCTTCATCTACTTTTTCTACACTAAGCACTCCAGCAGCACGGCAATTACTACCAAGATTACAATTCCAAACTTACTGTCCTTTCAGCATTTCCTGTATGTAACAAATACAAAGCAAAACAAATAAGCTCAAACACAATACCTGCATCAGCTTCATTGAAACTAGCCTATATAAGCGACATGTGGCGTCTACAATGTGATTGATGATTGTTTGTATCGGATAATTAAAGGCATTCTTCAAAAATACAGTAAAACCTTGATTTCCCCCTTGTCATTTGGTTCGGCAAAACGGTAAATGTGAATTTTGGAGCTCGTTAAAACAATCGGTTATTAGTGGTTCGAGAATAGCAGCCTCTATACTCGCCACGAACTCGCCACGACTCGAGCGGAGGAGCAACCGGCAGCAGCCGATGTCGACTTCTGCTTTTTGTGGAGTAAAAACGATGGAAAAAGAGTTAATATGGACTTTGGCGCATCTGAGCTACAGAGCTCATGACAAATACAAGTATTAAGGGTGTATAGCAGAAGACCCAACCCGCTTACGGTTCCTGGCTAGTTGCCCAGTCATGCCCCTTCAAATTCGTTGGTTACCCTAGGTAGATATGAGACCGAGCGGCATACTGTTCGAGAGCCTGCTTTTATAGTCCGCTGACCGGCCCGCGCGCGAGCGAGCGAGTGCGCCGGAGGACTACTCGACCGGCGGTATCGACCGAGGTTCAGTTGTAAACAAGGGGCAAGCGCCACCCCCGGCCGGCGCGCGGGCCGGCCGGAGGACCATGAAAGCAGCCAGATTCCCGACNGTGCGCCGGAGGACTACTCGACCGGCGGTATCGACCGAGGTTCAGTTGTAAACAAGGGGCAAGCGCCGCCCCCGGCCGGCGCGCGGGCCGGCCGGAGGACCATGAAAGCAGCCAGATTCCCGACCACTACTTTATAAATCGTGCCACGGCCTATTGATATGCCTAATAAGGGAAAAGTACGATATACGCTTTGACTCTAAAGAATGATTAAGGAGCATGAAATAGATCTTGTGTGTATAAAGTTGTAGGTAAAGATGACTGGAAGAAAAGACTCACCTTTTGTCCGAGAGCCTTTCTAATCTATCCCATTCTTCTTGATACGTTTCAAATAACTTTCTTGGATCTCGTCCATACATTTCTTTTTTCTCTTTAAACTTTTTCGGCACTAAAACCCAATTGTCTAAGACAGTACAGCTACGTTTTGAACGCACAGGATACCTCGATCTTCAGGACTCCCTGATCTGGAGTGGGGACGTGAAGTGCTCGTAGATGGGACTTCATTATCATCAGTGAGAATAATCGGCACTAGAGGAATCGGTTCGACGAGCTGAAAGAAGGGACAACTTTCACATCAGTAATAATATAAGTATTGATTACAAATGGTCGGGTTTTTTGGTCAAAAACTTGCTTTTTTGAAAAACGTTGGGGGGGGGGGGGGGGGCAGNAGCAATTAAGAAATTCAGGAACAAAGGAATAACAGTAGGATCATGCCATAAGTAATAATCACATAGCGATTGAGTTGTATAAAGAACGCTAGAACTGTTATAACGAGGCAAATGGTCCTCGACAGCCGCATGCGGCGGATCGATTGCATAAAACCGTTCCTACTGTTGGGCTAGCTGAGTTTAGTTACCCATTTGCAGTGCCTTCATGGAATTGTATAGCCTCGAAGGCTACCTAACTTCACGAAAGCAATACCAGTGGTATTCTGTATAGGGCTCTTGAAAATAGAGTTCAGATGTCTTAACTCTGGGAAAACACCATCAAACCCCTCCTACTGTCGCAGAAACCCCGCCCTCATACTCGGCACGACCGATTACCGTTGCAAGTAATTTTTGGCGTTTGAAGTTAAAAGTTTTAATTATCCAGTACCTGTATATCCTCCAAGGCAGGTGGTGGTTCTATGACCACGACATGAGGTTCTTCAACTTCTTCATCGCTAACCTGCTCCGGCATCTCTATCCGACAGACTTCCATAGGCGGGATGAAAATCTGAAGAATACAAAACTTTCCAGAAAGAACAGAATTTTGGTCATTCAAAATATTGATGGCGGTTAATCATTTGGTTCCATATACTCTCAATATAAATTTATTTGACAAGTCTTGCTGATAAACCTTACCGTACTTTTGAAGAGGTAAAAAACCTCCACAAACCGGAATTCGCTGAAAAGGATTCATTTGAGAGTTTCGTGACGTTAATTGGTTCTGACTAATTGTCTAATGCCTTTAGGACTTCCATACTTCGTTCTCTCTACCTCTCAAAAGGATTCATTTGAGAGTTTCGTGACGTTAACTGGTTCTGACTAATTGTCTAATGCCTTTAGGACTTCCATACTTCGTTCTCTCTACCTCTCTTTCCACGACCAAAGTTTTTTTTTTACAATTTCACCGATAAGAGGGCACCGTGGCATGGGTATGTCACGGGTGAAGACGTAGGGTGAACCAACCGAACTGGGAGGGGTGAGGTAGAGTGGGTAGAAAGAAACGATGAGAGCAACTGAAACAGATGTGAATCCCTTAGCAGCACCATAGAATAAAACCTTCTGTCCCATTACCAGTTATAGACTATGTGGGATGGAGGCTGGGCGGCCCATGTTTTAGGGTAGAAATATAGACTGAGCGGACCTACTTTTCAATTTTCAGTTCCCAGAATATCAATCAGGCTTCTGTACTCTACGTGATCGTTAGAATGTTCTTGATCCTCAAAAAAAGGAGAGGCCCTGCGACAGGACTGGGTTTGTGACACTGCGTGCGTCCGAGGACGCGCGCGGCAACTCGCGCGGCGAAGTTCGTGACGATTTGTACGACTCTGACGCCAACTGTCGGGGCACAAACTCGAAGTAGGGTAGTTTAGTACGGTTTAATGATCCTTTTAATCTGCTCTATTTCAGACTCGGACCCCAATGATATTCGCTAAAGTCGTTCAAATCGCCACGAACTTCGCCGCGCAATTTGCCGCGCGCGTTCTCGGGTGCAGTGCCCGTCCCCCGACAGGACCACAGGGACATCCGCCAGAAATTTTACCCATTTATGGCTTCTGAGATATATTTTGAATGGAGTTTTCAAGCTCTGAGAGAATTCGTTCCAAACGGAAAGAGATACCTGATCGTTTGCAGGTGGTGAATACATTGGCATATCACTTGATAACGTGTGATACACAGGATTCCTTATAACTAGGTCCGCACCATTGGGTCTGAAATGATTACTCTATAATTGCTGCTTCCGTTCTTATGTATTAAGTAGTATGTATTACTAAGTCATGCTGTGGGAGTAGGTAATATGTCTTTCTTACCGTAGAAACGGACTGCCTTCAGATGAGCTCGGCTCGCTGGGCTCTTTTTCAGGAGAAGGAGGAGTTTGTGTATCAGGAGCATGTTTTTCTTCGAAAGGGTCCTCGTTAGTGTCCATAGGTGGTTCTCGACCCTCCTGTGAAAATAAGTAATCTATAAAGTTCCATAAAAGTACTGGTATCAGTCTATGCAGTACAATTTCCCGAATGAACTTGGTACCGGGGAAAAGTAAACTAATCAACATTACCACCTATACTGATCAATAAAGTAGTGGGTTAGTAAATGTTCGCATAATTTTGTTATAAATCAGATATCAGGTTTACTCTTTCTTTTTAGTGTTCATTGATCTCTTACTAATCAATATAACTTAGCTGCAATACAGTATTTATAAGCTCGGGCATGCTCACTTGTATGCCTTGCATGCAGGTTTGCTTATGTCCTGTCTAAGGTGGTTCTGGCCACACCTCCTAGGGGCGCTCTGCCTTTACCGAGGCTATTTGAGAAGATTTGTTCATCTTAATTCAGGCAAATTGCACCTCATTCGAAATACAGTAGCAGGGCTCTGTCGATCTGTCGGTCTGTCTCTTTACTAGTAATTTTACAGTGCAGACACATTCCATTGAGCTGCACCTTTCAGGGCATTCGAGAAAAATTGAGGTATTAGCGTGAATATTCTTGTTTGAGTAACGTGGATCATTCAGATCTGTTGCAGTAATTGGGAAAATTGGCTTGCTCTAAAAGTATAGAATACTAGATCACCCGTGTCTTCTGAATATTTTAGACAAGAATAAAAAATCGAAATGTAACTTGCAGCGAATTTCGGTCTAGATTGGCTGCAGGTTAAGTAATAGCAAAGGGCCAACCTGCATGGCAATAGTTCTTTCGACAACATTTTCGAGGTCCAAAGCATCGATCATGCCGGGTTCAACACCACACTTCTTTCCAACAGCATGAAGAAGGTCCCGAACTTTCAGCCTGAAGCACAATCTGATCCCTTTTTTTTAAATGGAAAAGGCGATAAAATTGCGAATAAAAGCGGGTGTGCTTCGTTGCACGTGTCCGTCAAAACTAGATCACGCCGCAGCCGTCGCATGCGGCGGCCCACCCGCGATACTTGACAAACGTCGCAGTTGTCAGC